GCGGGGCTCGATCCCAGGACCCTCAGATCATGACCCGAGCCGAAGGCAGACGCTCAACGATTGAGCCACCCAGGTGCCCCAAACAATCTGATTCTATAAAAAGCTCAAAGTTCATAACAATACCCAAAGAGACAAAGTTAATATCAGGTATGAAAAAAGACCTCTGTAATGCCAAAGAAGATAGGTTATAATAGAATATATTTCATTTTTATCTTAATGTCAAGAATAAAGGGTGTTTGGTTTCTTGTATTAATCTGTTTATAAAAATACAAATGTGGGGTGCCTGGGTGGCTCAGTTGGTTAAGCGACTGCCTTCGGCTCAGGTCATGATCCTGGAGTCCTGGGATCGAGTCCTGCATCAGGCTCCCTGCTCAGCAGGGGGTCTGCTTCTCCCTCTGACCCTCCCCACTCTCATGCTCTCTCTATCTCCTTCTCTCTCTCAAATAAATAAATAAAATCTTTAAAAAAATAAAATAAAATAAAAATAAAAATAAAAATGTGCTTCTGTCAGGAAGCAGGAAAGAATAAATAAAGGAAACTATGTGTAAGTGAAGAGGTCCTGAGAAAAAGTAGGAGCTGGGGCAAAAACAGGAAACAGTCCTCGGAACCCGAGGCTCCATGTAAAAACTGGAGAAAAAGGGGGTCCAGCAGTTAGCCAACCAGTGGTCACCCCCAGAAAACAAGCAGTAACAGGATTCAACGGCATGTTCCAAAAAGATTAATCCACCAAATGTCATAAAAATGAGCCTCAACTGCATAGATGCAGTCCTGCCTCATCCTAGAAGATGAAAGCATGAGGACTGGTTACGTACTGATCGGAAACACGGTGTTTTAAAACATGCTAACAGACCAGGTCAGTACCACATAATGACAGGACAACAGCTTACACAATTCTGGCCAAGCCAGACTTAAAAGGAAGTCATCTGGTAACTAGCCAGGAGCTCCCAAGTGCCAAGCTCATGAAAGACAGACTAAGGGACTGGACCCAGACGGGGGAGACTAAGAAGGCAGGGAAACATCTGTGATCTTGGATCAGACTTGGGGCCAGAAAAAGGACATTGGTTGGCACGCTTGGTGAAACACTGGATAATTCTATAGATGAGTTAATAGCAGTGAAGGGATGTTCATTTCCTGGTTTTGGACGATGTACCGTAGTTATATAAAGTGTTAGCATTCGAACAAGTCAGATGAAAGGTATACAAGAATTCTGTCCCTATTTTTTCAATGTCTTTGTAAGTTTGAAATTGTCTCAAACATGAAAGGTAAAAAAAAAAAAAAAAAATTAAATATCCCATTTAGGGAGAGACCTGAGGTTGCAAGAGCCTGAAACTTACAGGAAAGACGGTGATCTTGTTCCAGTGAGCATTACGCTGACATCAGTTAAGTGGGTAAAGGAAGCTGTTTGCAACTTACATTGGAGGAACTGGTGCCTGGTGCTGGGCTCAGGTTTTGAGGTCCAATACTTGCGCTCGACAACAGTAGACACTTGAGTGCTGATATCATACTCCTCTAGAAAATCAGAGAGTTACAAATGCATACCTGTCCAGGTGGTCAGGAGAACCTAAGAAGCAGGACTTTCTAGGGGCGCCTGGGTGGCTCAGTTGGTTAAGCGACTGCCTTCAGCTCAGGTCATGATCCTGGAGTCCCTGGATCAAGGCCCACATCGGGCTCCCTGCTC